TGGAGGCGAAGTTATACTTCTTTTTAAGTGTGCTGGTGTTTACATCCCAAGTCGCCGAAGCCGCAGCCCAGGCTTGATAACACTCCTGCTTACTGCGTAATGCAATCTTACAGGAACGACCAAAACAAGGCTGAGATCTGCCTCCGATGGGTACCACAGATGATGGAATAAATAGTTCCATTCCCTGTAGCACCACATCAGTAACAGAGTCAGAAACAGCGCTGGGATCATCCGGCGAGAAGCAAACCCGCCCCCATGGGTAGGATGCAAAGAAAAACCGCATTCCATCCCAATCCGCCGACCTGTAATGCCAAACACGGCGGCAACCTGCAGAACGCAACCGCGAAGGGAGCGTGAGTGGCACCATACTCCGGATCAGACAATGGTCCGAAGAGCCGAGAGGGTCATCGACGGAAACTTGATATCCGTCTCATCCGTCCGGATGAGAGGTCAGCAGAAGGTCCAACAGGGAAGTAACCAGTTGTGTCAGACCATATGCCAAGGCAAAGTCATAAACGGATCTCCCCGCATGATCGGTTAAACGTGAACCGAGCCATTCGGCATGGTGGGCGTTAAAATCGCCAAGGATCACGTTCTCTGCGGATGGGACCTGTTGTAGCAAGGAATCTGTAGCCATTTGGACGTGATCGATGAGTCGGTCTGTTTCGGCATTACCGCTATGGGACCTATAGAGGCACCCGGCAGGAGCATGCACACAAACTCCAGTTTGTGTGCATGCTCCAATTTGTATCCTGGGTAGGAGAGATACGAAATATCAGCCGGAGAGGAAACCTGCGTCTCCGTTAGAAAGAGCAAGGCCGGCTTCGCCGTCTCAAGATGGTAGTGGACGGCGGTTAGGTTAGAGTGAAGTCCCCTGATGTTGCAGATATTCACGGATAGCGTGGCAGGGGTCGCCTTGGTATTGTTGCTCAGTTTGCCCCGAGCAGTTATGTTTTGAGCGGAATTTTGCCCCCCCCCCCCCCAGAATAGGTGGGGCAGCCTGAGCACCCACGCTCAGGATTGTAATAACATGGTCGTGGATGCTCAGCGAGGGATTCTCCAGGGGTACTCGTACCCTCCTGGGGTAGTCTATCGTGTAATTCCGCTACCATGTTGATGGGGGGGGGGGGGGGGGAAATTGGGAATTGGATGGGACATTTGTGAAAAGACTATTAACGTTCAAAGATAACAATATGGATTTAGGAGGAATACGAATAACTTTAATTTTGGAAATGAGATCTAAGCTATTTTTAGGCTGTAAGTGGGGTTGAATCCAGATTTCTCTCGAAGGAGGAACTTTTGTTTTTTAGCAAGGAACTAAGCTGGTGCACCTAATATGGAATAACTGGATGAATAGGAACATGTTCTTTATGTATTTTTGGTAACCCATATAAAATGGGTGCTTGAGGATTCATTGGAACAAGACTGCTCCGAGACAAGTTGTGATCGGGAAAAATATATGACGACTGTTGTATACATAGCTTAATATCCGGTGTAAACTTTTTGGTTGGGTCAGACTCCAATAGCTTAAAGTCATCCCCTTGGATAACATCGTTAGATTTCTGGATGTACCCGCTACTCTCCATAATGGCAACAGTATTGCCCTTATCGGCTTTAGTAACACCTCAACGACCATAGTCTCTAACGATTTTTGGGATACCGAAGGTGTTAAATTATATTTTCGGCCTTTATGTAAAAGGGACAACTCATCTGTTTGAAACTGGACATCTGAAAGATTTTTAACTCGGGAATAAAATTGGTGATATTCTGTATGTATGTCGTTATTACGATTACGGGATACAAGTCGTTGTAATTTACGGGACTGAATTTGATATTTTTCGTAAACAGATTGGTTGCGTGGTTGGAGGGTAGGCGGGCGTTGCGCGGTGGTTTGTTTTTAATTTTGCAAACGGCTGTGTAAGTCCAGCGGTGACTGGTCGCATGTTTTATCGCATGACACAGTCGCTCGCTCATTAAGTAGGAAGCGGTTGCGTCAGCAGTCTGTATAAATAGGAGTTGTTTTGGCTCGCCGCTCACTTAGCGGTCAGCCACCGCAGAGTCTAGATTACGTGAAGATACCTCGTGTAGAGGCGAAACACGTGTCGTATTGTCGTCGGTGCTGTGTCTTTTGTAGTGTAGTGGTGTTGGCAGTAGTGGTGCTGGGATTAGTGGTGACGGTGATAGTGCACGCAATTAAAATACTTCCATCACTTTCGTTTAAAAATAGTGCTAATTATTTGTATGCTACATTATTTAAAATTATAAGTTGTGAATTTAGTAGAATATTTACTTCTGAAACTTTCTCTTTTAACAGTCGCAAATCATTTAATGAATGGGCGACAGTAGGAATTTATAAAAGTAGGCGAAGGTTATACGAGCTTTATGATGAAAGATCATATAATAGTAGTGTTATATTTACAGATTATGTAAAAACATATTCTAAAATATTTAAAAAAGTGTGCTCCACTGCTAAGGCTTTACAAAATAACCTGGAGAATAAGATTTATGGAAAACAGCAAATATAATTCCTATACATAAAATAGACACACACCACTGACGACAATGCGATACGTGTTTCGCCTCTACACGTGTCATATTATCGTCAGTGGTGTGTCTTTCCTAGTGTAGTGGTGTTGGGAGTAGTGCTGCTGGGATTCGTGTTGACGGGGATAGTGCACACAATTGAGGGAGGACGGGAGGTGCTCTTCAAACTAGGTAAGATTTTATCGAGCGGATGTCCGCGAAGTAATTTTTTGCCAACTTTAATATAATGGACTTCCGCAAAATAACGCCTGATTCAATTAATTATCTTAAGATAGGTATATATATTTCATGAAAAAAGGTTCTGACTTTACCCGGGTTATCGATTTTTAAAATCCCTGCATTTTCCCCGCATAATACCAATCCCTATAAGATCCCCAATCAACTTTAAACTCCCCGCTATTTGGGGAATTCTCCACATGTTGACAACTTTGAAATGTGTGCGCTGGTTGCGGCAGCGCGTGTGTGAAAGGGAAGGGTAGAGTGAATAGAAATACGTAATGCATTGTTTCATCAGTTTTGTACCGAGCTAGTTTAAAGAGTTCGGCGACCGCGCGGATATTAACCCTAGTCAGCTGATTTAAATTACACTGCTGGTTTTATGTTTCACTATTTTCATGATTTTTTTTTTATAAAATGATCGTTTCATTTAGCTGTACTAACATGATGGAGCGTGAATAAAGGTAATAAAACGTTGTTTAAAGATGATTTTTTTTTCCCTCGGGATCGATATTCTTTCTGACCTATCATCAAAGGTATCGTTAATACTATCGTCTGTCTTTGTTTTCGGGAGCGTTTCACAAATACTCGGTATAATTTAGGGCTATATTAAATACACCTTCTATATATTATTTTACTGTTACCGTTACCGTTATAGCCTATTAAAGTACATTGCTGAATACAGGCATACCACATAGATTGCCACATATGGGGGACAATTGCCATAGTTGCCACGCTTGGTAACCACTGTTTTTCTTTATTTTTAGTCCTCATTAAGAAGACGCTGCTATCCATCTCCTGCCTATTATATTATTCTATCAGAATATAATATTGTTTTCTTCTTCCCTGTGCAGAGATGGAAGTGATGGCTTACAGAAATCTATTTGGACAGCCTTGGCGAGAGATAAGAATGAACGGGTTCCTGAAGGAAAATGAACTGATTTCTCGCCAATTCTGCCAATGCGCTCTTGTACTTAGACTTGGCAATAACTCTTTTGAAAGACATGGAGGCGAAGTTATACTTCTTATTAAGGATGCTTGTTTTTTTATATGTAAGCCTAGGCCTGAAAATACTCCTGCATACTGCGTAATGTAGTCTTACAAGAGCGATCAAAACACGGCTGAGATCTGCCTCCGATGGGTACCACAGATGATGGAATAAATATTTCTGAATTAAATTTCCTGAAGCACCACATCAGTGACCGATCCAGCAACAGCACTCGGATGATCCGGCGAGAAGCAAACACCAATTGCTAGGATTCAAAGTAATACCGTATTCCGTCACAATCCGTACGTTCGAGTCCTAGTCTGTATCCGAGTTGTCGCTATCATCGGGCGATACTGTTATAATATATGTATGTGAGTGATTAAGTGAGTAATTGAGTGAGTGAGTGCGTGAGTGAGTGAATGGGTGAGTGAGTGAGTGTGTAGGTGAGTGAGTGAATGAGTGAGTGCGTGGGTGCGTGCGTGGGTGCGTGCGTGCGTGCGTACGAGCGTAAATGCGTGCGTGCGTGCGTCCGCGCGTACATGCGTGCGTGCATGCGTGTGGTATAACAAGACCAAACACATACGGTTTTGATACGTTCTAGACTTCAAGAGAGTATAGCTTTGATGTTTGATCACGTAATATTTAAAACTCAAATGGGATCGTCACGGCGAGCGCCATCTTCGAAAGTATGCAAATTAAAGATTGTCATGTTTTTGTACGTTCATACATCGTTCATAGTACAAATATGCCGTTCATGTTGATAGTACACAGGCATAACCGAAGCAAGAAAGAATTTATAACATATAATCAAAGAAAAATTTTCCCATAACTGTAAAAATAATCATAATACTTGCAATAGTGCATTTTTCGATTTTGCATTTTCAAAGATCCATGGATGGTTATACGTCATAAAGCCACGCTGTAGCTATATTATGGTTGCAACATGAATGGATTGGCTTGACTGGGGAAGATCCACGCTCTCACAGAATACCAGAATAAAATTGCATCTTTTGCTCTTCGTATGGTGAGTGTAAAGAACCGGAGACCCTTTTTACTGGTAACGTGGCGTTCTATCTTAACCCTCAGAGGTTAAAAGCATCTACACTTTAATTCTTAATGGAGCAAAATGTGGGTGACTATGGGCCATCGCATCCAATTACCATCAGGTGACTGTGTACTGTGACTAAGCTATCTAACGTCGTCCAACTAACAACACTACCTATAGTAAAAGTTAAAATTTTCTCGGTTACAGGAGTGGTGGACGGCTACCCAATTTTCTTGGTATTACCGCGCGTGGAACCGCGTTGTCTATGCGTGGTTCCGTGATCATATATACCGACCACTCGCACCGCTGGTCGGCAGCAGCATTTCCACAATCGTCGTCTTTATTGTAGGTTTTTCTAATTAATATTTATTTCATCATCATCATCATCACTTGCGTTATAATTACAACACTAATATTGCAAAGTCCACCGCTAATATTGTAACATCCTTAAAAAAGGCGCTTTAGAGAAATTTTTCATTACTCTAGCCAGTTTTATTCCGGCTGATAGTTAACTAACTGTCCAGTTGCTCTATAATCATGCCAAATGAGAGAAAAAGAAGGAAAAGGAGGCCTGTGTTGCCATTGGGTCGTATATAAGCTGTAACTTTAAATTTTTATACGTCATCATTTTTGGAAGAAATAATTATTTAAATATCAGCAGCTCAATAATGATAATAAGAAAATGGAAATAAACGAAGTGTTAACCGTCACCAAGTTCCTCTGTTGAAAAAATATCTACTAAAGATAAATATGCTGACGTGGTGGAAACACTAAGGGTCTCTCCAACACCAAATTTCACTGTTCCACACTGTTCCAAGAAGTTAAGGCTAGGCCGAATATGAACCGAATATGAGCATTCTGAAGTCCGCCAATCACCATCAGACACGATCAGACATTTAAGAGATCACATAGATCACATATGGCAGCATTCAACGGATTCTTACCAACGAAATGCATAATGGCAATGGTATGCCCCCGTTGCCGAAAACACATGCTTATAACATCTTTCTCGACAGCGTGTTGACACATACCTTCGTATTATTATGGAAATGGTTTATAAATTATAATGCACAATAAATTATGACGTTATATTAAAGTTAAAGTTACTTCCTATATACGTCCCACTGCTGGGCACTCTAAAAAGAGCAAGTAAATGTCAAATGGGCACCAATGCGTGTTGGTGAACTTCACATGTCTTCGGGATATATTTTTTCTTATTTCTCAGATATGAAGGTTTCCTCACGATGTTTTCCTTCACCGCCGTGAAAGTGGTAATTCAGCGCTTAAAATTGCAATTAACAATTTCATTAGTCCGGACGGGGATCGAACCCGGGTAACTCGCGAACTGTGAGAAACTTACAGCGAGCGCTAACCATCTGAGCTACCACGGATTACAACATTATTATCGTATGGGTCCGTTGTATTCGTAATTGGTTCTATTAAAAATCTAATAGGTTCTTAACCTGCGCGTTATTTCGTAGCTAATTTAAAATGAATGAGGTCGGTTTCGACGCACCGACGTTAAAATCAAATATACTCGCAACGCGCAAATGCTTTATTGATGAATATAATAAATCCATCCATTACAGCTTATAAAAGTCCACTGCTGAACATAGGTCTCCCCTACAGATTGTCTCATTTTACCATAGTTGCCATGCTTGGCAGGCGGGTTGGCAACCGCAGTTTTTATTATTTTGAATTGTCATCAGGAAGATGCTGCTACCCATTTCCATCTTCAGTTTCCCTCGGTCGCCACTTACAACACCCACGCGCGAATATTAATAATAACTAATTATAATATTATATAACAACAAAAATTAAATAAATCATACTTCTAGGGTGATCCCATATAAATTTGAAGAAAAAAATCCAACCCTAGCGGTGAAAATATAGGCGATGAAGTTTTTAATGTAACCATTTAGACAAGATTGGAACTTGTGATATTACTTAGTCCACTAAAAAGGGTAAAAAAACTAAACTATCAATAAAGAGTAAAAGACCAATTCAACAAACTAAAAATAATGAAATAATTTCTACATAATAACTTCTGAAGTCGGTTCTTAATTACTTCTATATAGGCATTATGTCTTAGTACATCTGAAACTTTTATGTATTTTTTTTAATTCTTTGAAGTAATTTTAACACTAAATTTTTAACTCTTTTGAGTAGAGTAAGGAATATCACAGTTATCGTAATCTAAGTCGTATGTTCATGTTAACAAAAATGATTTACGATAAATTTAAATAGGTATAATAGCAACATATACGATACGATGTAATAGCAAAAGATTTGTATATACCTAATTTCATATTATTAATTCATATTATACCGAAAAAAGTTTCTCGAGTGGCGGCTTTGTACCGGCGGACGACGTGTAGGGCGTCCCCCCACTAGATGGAGTGACGACCTGGTAAGACATGCAGAAAGTCGATGGATGCAGGTGGCTCAGGACCGTGCTTTTTGGCATTTCTTGGCGGAGGCCTATGTTCAGCAGTGGACTTGTTAAGGGCTGTAATGATGATGATGATGATATTATGTTTCTGAAAGAAGTAATAAATCATAGTATTTCTTCTTTATTATAACCAAAAGTGGACAGCGGCACAAAAGTCTAGTAGTGAAAGTCGCGGTTCAGGCGTGAGTCGTTCGCACGATTTGATGATTTGATGACGCTGATTGACTTGCGCGTATCGTTTGCACGCGCTCATTGGCTCTCCAGTCGCGCTCGTGCAATTCAATTCGTGAATGACACTACCCATGATCCCCTCCACGTTTCGTTCAGCGCTAAGCTTACGTGCCGCGCCTTATAATTTTGATTCTAAATTGCTTCCCATCAAGTTGTGAAATTTGGTTTCGGCATTTTTAATAGCTTTCAGTTGTCCCAGACATGTTCATTTATTAGCACGATGCACCGCGTAGTGAGGTATGCATTTAGGCAAAATTTGTTAAATTCACCTTACAATCTTATTATAATGCACAAAAAAAGTATTAAAAAACGAGCATTTAATAAAATTGTAAATATATTAACAAATATAAAACGCAATCAATTTTTAGGTATCATCTGTCGCACACGAGACTATACTGGTGGTTTCATTTGGTTTCTTCTACCCAGTGCTTTTCATACAGTTCGGAGTGTGTGGGCTAATTTTCATACCACTCACGGCTTCCAGTGGACGTCGCTTCCCAAGTCTAATCAATTTTTGTTTTTGGCTCTGCCTCTTTATTGGAAACGGTATGTATCTTCAAGTATCGTGTCATATAAATATAGTGAAATATATCGTCACTGGACGTGTCATATAAATAAAGTCAAACTAGCTGACCCGGCAAACGTTGTTTTGCCATATACTTAAATTATTTCTAGGAAATATTTTTTACTTTTAAAAATTGCGATTAAAAAACAGGGGTTGATGAAAATTTGAAGTTCTATGTATTTTTAATGCTAAATCATAATATAATAAAAATAAAAAAATTCTCAAAAAAATGAAAAAAAAATGAAAAAAATATTTAGGGGTGGATCACCCTTATCATTTAGGGGTTTGAAAGATAGATGTTGGCCGATTCTCAGACCTACACGATAGCACACAAAACTTCATACTAATCGGTTCAGCCGTTTCGGAGGAGTTTGGTAACAAACACCGCGACACGAGAATTTTATATAATATTAGATATATCGTCACTGGACGTCAATATATCGTCACTGGACGTCCAAAACTGCAAAGTGAATTTTTTTTTCAAAAATAGACTAAAATAGAATGCCTCATTTAAATTTTCTTCCATATGTGTAACAAGAACAAGTTATGGTACGATAATATTAGGCTGGCATGTCCTTGTAGGATGTTGTTGATGTTGTCCTTTTTAAATAAATATAGAAAACAAATCTTTGGTTCGCGTCACTCAAATTATGATATTCAGCAGCAGTATATTGCTATTTTATGCTGTTATCCAATTAGAACGTTATCCTTTGCCGGTCGAACCGGTCGAAAATAATACAGCTAGAAGTGGTTCTATCACGTAAGAATACTACTCCAGTTCTTTATTACATAACATAATATGTGACAACATTTTTTTCCTTTATTATGAACAGAACATTGTCAATATAATGGCAGCTCTTCACGTTGGCCAACATTGTGGTCGAATGCGGACGAATTTATTAAAATGGATATTGAGGCGCTTAACAGCGTACCGTTACTACGTGAATGTGTATAAGAAAAGGTTGATCAAAATGAAATGCAAAAAAAAAATATTTCTTGGGTTCCACATGCAATTTTCGGCTTGGTAGAGCTCCATAAAGCGAAAAGTTTCTTCATTGGTCATTGTTACTGCTATTTTGTAGATACTAGTACGCTGCGTGAATATAAAGTTTAAATCAGGTGCGTGCGATCACTCAGGGAGCTCGTAGCAAAATAAACGCGCGCCCAACGTGTATAGGTGGGCGAAGGCGATGCAAACCGTACACTGTTCGAAATCTTTATATTGGTACAATATCAAAAACCGCTTACTGATTCGTTCGAAAACTATGTATTACAATATCTGATATTTGAGTACCACCGTATGCCTCTATATCGATTCGCATAGGTCAGTGGCTAGATTCGCCGTGTGCGACACCAGAGCGCAAGCGATATAGGTATTAACCCATATTTGCCCCCTGATTCGAAAACGATCAATACCTTCTATATGCCCAGAACTATTTTGGACTTCCGATTTTACTAAATTTTGGATATGTTAGTGGTAATAAGTTTCTAATAACGTTATAATTGGTTTCATTAAGGTTGGAATTCGTTATGTACCTATTTTTAAATTGTTCAAAAACGAAACATTGGGCACTTTCCATACATTTACTATGAGTAAAAAAACAATAACATTTTTCCATGTTTATTTATTTTCAAATGACATATTCATATAAACCTAAAATACCAACAAACAAGATTTAAGCAAAATTTAGGAGGAACATATTTAGGAACTCAATTTAGGAATGAAAGGCTATAAAACATTTGGTATGTAAGTTAACCTGACACTTTTGGCATGAAGTAACCGTCAAGCTTTTGCAATAAGCACAACGCAGGCAGCTTGGTGCTCTGCCGATCATGTGCTCAGCATTAAATTTTCGCACTGAGGGAGGTACAGTCGTAGAAATCTTTCTAGAAGGACCCGGCCGCCGCTTATCAATGCCATAATTTTGGAGCAAAGTTTGTGTCGTCGTGTTCGTGCGAGAAGTGTTGCATTGTTTACAACCACATCAATAAGCCAGAAAATTATGGGGATATACCACTTTTTGCCTCTAATAAAAATGTTACGACATTATTATCATGCCAGCGAATAGCACAAATACCATTTTTTATCCAGCCAACTATCGTGATAACCTCTCGGTTTTTTCTTGCATAATTTGACATCTTTCAAAGGACACTTCTCTATTCTATTATTTCTTACAGTAGCCGGTACTAGAAAAATTTGTTCTTTCATTTGAGTAATTAGGGGTAACCCTGTAAAAAAATTGTCGACATAAACAGAGAAATTTGTATTTTCGTAGGCAGCTTTGATCTCCGTCATAAGTTTACTTATGATATGTTGGCCTAAACCGGTCCTGACTCCTTCAGATTTACCCTGGTAAAGATCAGCATGCAAGCAATATCCCAGTCGCAAAGCTGCTACCGAAGTTTTAAAACCGAACCTGATGTGCTACTTACATCCATGCCTGCCGTGATAAGGTATCATAGATTCTTCTATGCTAATATCTTTTTCAATCACAGCATATTGCAATTTTTTTTTATTGAGCATGTCAAACAAGAGGCGCACTTTTGCCATTTGTCACCTGGCGCTAAATTTGAGTTATCAGCCACATGAAAGTATCGTAAAATTTCTTCAAACCGGTTCCGTCGCATAGATTTAGCTACTAAAAATTGTGGGTATCCTCATTACTCTCCCAATACATACGTCGTCGCGGCAATGGCCAGTAACCTATCCATATAAAAGTGCCGACAAAGCAATATGTTTCATTGTCTGACAAGGTAAACGCCATATTTCATTTTTCTACAGCATTCATAACCGTATGACGAACAATATGAATGATTATTTCGTGACTAACAATAATTCAAAAATACCAACTGGGTCCGACGCATCTGATACAGTCACCACTGATCTTGGAAGCGGTGCAATCCACTCGTTATCCATCCTACATAAGTCTCGTTTTACCTACTTACGGGCTTGTGGCTGTCCTGGTTGACTTGATAAAGGCACGTTCGATGTTGTGTTTCGACTAGCTAAGGCTGTAAGCGGAAGATCATCTTCTGACTCGCTGTTATCATTGTTTTTATTCCTATGAAGCACCAGCTCAGCAGGAGCCAAAAGTTTAAATTATCGAAACTTACATTTATTTCATCGCCCAAATCGGAGTCCGAAACTAATCCATCTCCGGGGGATCAATATAAATGTCTATACCTGTCGCTTCATCGTCCGAATTCAAATTATGGACAATATCAACTATTTCATTGGTCGATAACGGCCTGCTCCATCTGAAATAATAAAATGTTTATTTAGTATATTACATACGTATACTTTCCCAGTGTATCGTTTTCGAAACACTGATTTTAAAAATAGCTTTTAGGTATTTGAATATAACCATTTAGTTTATATAATTACATATACATATTTTCAAACTATGTAATTTTATCATAAATTACGCAAGATCTCTAAACTAGAGATAATTGGGATAGTTACTCACTTTTTTGTGAAAGTCGCCATGATTTCAGCATGACGTAAACTGGTCATAACTTGCACTGATTTATTACGTGAAAATAACGTTTGTTTAATTGACACATTCAATTACCTTTAGAAGATAATACCTTAACCTTGACATAGATGGCAGTAGTATGCACTTTTCGAAGAAAACGCGAAAGATAATGAACTATTATTAAAACTTAATTTTTGATTCGTTTTCGAATCACGAGGCAAATAAGGAACCAAATAAAAACATAGTTCTGGGCATATATTGGTTAAAGTTTAATTTCTGTTGCCTAATAATAATACATTTCAAATATTATTGTTTTTTAAAGCCTAAAATCGAGCATATTATTATGTTATTTTATTTAGAATTTTCAATTTATATTAGATCTATCCGAATAAATGTAGTAGAAGGACAAAGTTGCGTTTTTTATTATTTTAAATACCTTTTGTGTTGTAAATAAATAATAAAGACACTGCAAATATCTACTATTTTAATTGATCTATTTATAACTCTTTAATCAATATCTTATGAAAACTATTTTCAAAAAATAATAACCGACTTTTTATGAAGATTAAGTTAATAAAATATAATCAAAATTTGTTAATTGGTTCTTTTTTAGAATTCAGAAAATCGCAAACATACATAATATGTAATACATACGGGTCGAATAAATATTCGATATTCTTTTTTAGAGTAGAAAATATAAACGCATACGCAGATTATCTAGATATTGAAACATATAGTTTTAATATCAGGTATTGAGATTCAAAATCTGATATAGATACGATTCTCAGAAAACGCGATATGAGCCAGGCCTACCAACATGTGGACGCGGCAGCCATAACTCTGCCACAAGCACGCACTTACTACAATCTTTTGTAAAAATATCAGTATTTTTACACCACATGGATCTCGCGCCAACTTGTGAGCCATCATTCCAATACATACCAAGGTAAGCACAAGCACCTGCTCTACATGATGGCCATAGGTATTGACCACAACATTCGCCACAACGTTGGCCAACGTGAAGAGCCGCCTTAAGAGCAATGCGAAAAGATTAAAAATTTTTAATGTAAAGGAAATAACACTACTTAATATTACTCGTGTTAACAAAATTAATAAAATAGTTGATAATCTAAAATATTTAAATTAAGCTTTTTTAATTTGTTTTCACAGGTATTTCATGGAGCCTTTACCCAATGGAATATTTTGCCCGCAAAAATTGTCCGCCTACAGAAAACGATAGCTTTTTCATACCGAAATCTTGGTCTTGTCCAGAAATAGTACTGAAACCAAATTGGACTTTTCAAAATCCTTTTAATTACAATTAATTATAAAGGCTATTTACAAAAATTACAAAACAGGTAAAACTTTGGTTCGTGGTTAAATACATAAGTAAAAACTAGCGACATATATTTAATCTCATTAATTTATTAGTTAAATATGCCCTGTATAATTTAAAATTAAAAATTTTGTACATACGACTTCAATATGAGTTATTAAGAATAGCTCAAAAACTATTGGTCTGACCTTGATCAAATTCATATGGGACCACACGAAAAGTACCAGCTTTCAAATAAAAAAAGAATCATCCAAATCGGTTCACCCAGTAAAAAGTTATGAGGTAACACACATAAAAAACATACAGTCGAATTGAGTACCGTCTCCTTTTTGGAAGTCGGCAGAAAAGTATGAATGTAATAGTATGTATTCGTCCATAAATATTAGTTATATAGAATCATCAAATTCCGATGATTAGTCACTGAGTTTGAGATAATTATTACTGATTATGACTAAATGAATTCATTTTTTGAAAATATTGCATTATTGCTTTATTTTATATTTTCAAATTTCGCAATAAAATTAGTATAGCTTAGTTACTCAAGTGTTTTTCTGTAGTAGGTATCTACCATCGACTCGCGCGTGAAGGGTTCCGTGCTATCGTTAAACACGTTTCTAGTAGGGGAGAACTTTTAATTTTTAATTTATTTTAATTTTTATTATTTGTTAAAATATTCTTCTCGTTCTTCTTTATTTGTGTGAAGGTAAATATTTTATAATGTTACTAATAATAGAAATGATACAGCTGTCTCACTATCTTTTTTTCTCCTTCCTCTCTCTCTGAATTTAATTGTGAAACAAATAGTCTGGAATGTATAAAAAATAACTTGTCAGATCACCTGCGTTGTAATGCAGGTGCCAGCGCGCTCAATAAACGTAGACGACACACTAAGCCTGCTTGCATGTGGGCAATAACTACAAAGGAATATCAACGCCGGACTCGCGGGAGCTACGATGACGAAGTAGTTTACGACGAAGAAGTTCATTGCTCTAACTAAAACTTGGTACACACGCATCGATTTTGCGCGAGTGACACTATACAGGGGGACTTATCTTGTTTTCCATGTTTTAATACCATGTAGTCAAGCGATTTGACCGCGCTCTCCTTTCGTAACGTAAGTAACTTTTATAAATGAAATGCCAAAATTTCCAATACAGATACAGATCCTTTCAACATAATCCAAATGTTAGTGGTAACTACTCCACCGTAAACATTAACCTAGTGCATGAAAATATACAAAGCATGATAGACAAAGAGCTAGAAATTGAATGTATTAGTTAAATGCTTATAAAGTACCTAGCTGTGCCCCGCAATTTTACCCGCATATATCACGCGACTGAGTCGCGCGAGTCGTAATGCCACCTCGCTCATTTAGTTCAATCATTTTAACTAAAAAATATATCAAAATTAATGGAGTATTTTCTATCGGCATATGTACGTTATAAAGTTAACTATTATTCACTCTCCCTCGCCCTCCCGGGTAAGCGTGAGGTTATTTCCAATTATAAAAAGAACTTTACATGGTGTGCAGATTAATGGAGTGGAGAAATAAATTATCGCTCTTTTTAGAGAGCATATTCTATTCTTTACTTCAGTCATACATACAATGTCATGTTTCAATAACCTAAAAAGAATGGTTTCTTGTTATATTATATGTATAATATGATATATAGATATATAATAGGTATATGTATCATATATATATATGTGTGTGTGTGTGTGTGTGTGTGTGTATGTATGTACGTATATATATTGTATCTACATTTGTATATGTAAATTTTTTATTCAAATATATATACAGGGTATTTTTGAAACGCTCCCGAAAACGAAGACAGACGACAGTACCAACTATACCTTTGATGATTGGTGAAATAGAAAATCGATTCTGATAAAAAAAAAACATCTTTTCACAACGTTTTATTAGATTTATTCATGCTCCATCATGTTAGTACAGCTAAATGAAACGATAATTTCATGAAAAAATCATTACAATACTGAAACACAAAAACCAGCAGTGGAATTACTGAATTACAATCAGCTGACTAGAGGTCAATTTACGCACGAACACCGAATTTGCGCGGCCATACCACAATACCTAATAATTTACAATACTTGTGTTAATACCTAACTTATTTACTTAACCTACTACTTTGCCACTGTGCTTGTCTCCACCTAGCCACTTAATTTGAATTCACAGGTTAAATAACCGAAATAACCGGTTCGATTCCCCGCTAATGAAAAAAATACTTAAATAAAATGTTAACGAGGTAAGAGTCATGCGTTTTTATTCATCGTGTATGTTTATTATTCTGATGTATTCAGTTATGTACCTATTCAGATCAGTTCAGTACTAAGTTATTTAAAAATTAAATAACTTAGTACTGAACTAAAAGTTAGGTATAAAACAGTTTACCGCTCTAAATCCTCCGTGGTCTTATGAGATGCGGCTCAAATTGTGCTCCATTCATTTCGAGGCAGATTTGGGCTCGGTATTGCGCCTCCTCATGCAGGCGGGACATCATCGTGTGGTCTTCGACACAGTCCGTACGTAGTTTGTCGAAAAGATCCACGATCCTTTGACGCATTTCGTCAGCACTATCACACTCACGATTAAAAACCCTTTCTTTCACATACCCCCACAGAAAGAAGCCTAACAGGGTCAGATCTGGTGAGCAAGGTAGCCAAGCGTGTGGCGTAGTCTGCCGATCCATCGATCATCAAATAGCTCGCTGAGGCGCTCACGGGCAAACCTCACAACATGTGGAGAGGCACCATCATGCTGGAACCATATGCGGTGATATTCAGCCAACGATAGGTCGTCTAAAATGTCACCCAAATGTTCATTTATGAAGTTTAGGTATCGCCATTCAGGTAGTTAATTAAGTCGTTGTGGCAGAAACACTGGTCCTAGTATGCGATCCTTAAATAAATCTGCCCATACGTTAACCGACCATCAGGTTTGGTGCCCGGTTTGTCGAACAGCGTGCGAGTTAACCTCGGAATACATGTGTGTATTTATTCGGTTCCACAGGCCGTCTCTAGTAAATGTCGACTCGTCCGTCCAGATGACGTGCTCAATGAAACCAGGCACACGTTATTGCTGGTCTAATAACCAACGGCAGAAAACTCGCCAGCGGTCGTGATCGCCGGAAACTAAAGCTTGCACTTTATATACTTTGTATGGGCGCATTCGGTTACACTTTAACACTTTGTGAACTGTACAGTATGACACACTTTTTCCATCCCGACGCCTTGACAATTTAGCGATACTGCGTGTACCTAGGTTCAGATTACGGCAAACGACATCTAAAATACGCTCCTTGGAGTGAATAGCAACTTGACTTCCACCTCCTGCCGCTACCAGAGCAATGGGCCGATTTTCCAACACTCGCTGAAACGCTGCTGTTATCAGATGAGAGTCAGCTGGATGTCGAGCGGTCGGGAATTTCTCTCGGTAAATTCGTAATGCACGCGAAACATTCCCGCGAGCTTCTCCAAGGCACATCAAAATGTTGCCGTATTCACGAGCACTATAAAAGTACGCGTTAGGCATTATAAAAACAAAACAAGAAATTTAAAACGTAACAACAAGAATAATATCATTAAATAATAAATAACAAGTAATAACGACAATAATTTAATGAACAAAACATTTGAACTGTCTCTTGTGATAGTCAACACGGAACGGAACTGTCTTAAAAACTAAAATTATTAATCAAACCCGCTAAACCAAATGCGCACAAGGTAAAGTCTTTGAAGCACTGGAACCTTCCACACACCGTTAAAGCCTTATGTATGTTAAGACATCGCCAACGTTTATTTTATTTAAAAGTTTAGTTATCCCTACGACTAGTCTTCATATGTAATTTAAAAGTTATGGTTGTCATTTTTAATACAATTACACAATCAGTTGTACCCTGACGCAACAAGCAGTTCTTTACTACAAAATTATTGAAATTAATAAACATACCTAATTGGGTACTCAGTACTCACACAATTATAAACACTATCTCATTGTTATCTTAGATTTTATATAAGAAAATAGAAATGAAATTGTACTGAATAATTTAATAGTTAAAATCAATTGCAATTATGATAGACAGTTGAATAATTTAACAGAATTAATGTAAAAATAATTCTTTTACTTTATTTTAATTGACTCTCCGTATTTAATCCGATAAATACTTTGAATTTAAAAAGAGTTCCGTCAAAATTATTAAAAATTAGTTGCAAGTTTTATAGTGATTGCCACTTCTAATTCTTATTTCGCCGGCAAACTAAATTTCAGTGCAATATGGCAGCGTTGCTAATGCCATGCAGTGGAGGGAGTGTCTGCGCATGGGTGGCGCGTTCTAAACTACTACATGGTATTAGGCTATTGTTTTATAATAATAGTAATTAATAATTTTATTGTAGAATCATAATAGGTGTTTCACTAGCTACTTAGAACTTTGGAAGAGGTTGGAATTAAAAATGGATAATGTTTACTTTAGAAAACTTGTGATGACACGCCGTCCATTATATCGTCTTGGGTCACACGGAAGCCAGATGTCGATGATGTATTGGTGTTACTGGATGCTGCTTCATCGTCACTTTCACCTTCGCTTGAGCTTCCGTCATCAGAATCATCATCATCAATGCGAATGATAAATGTTTCCGTCATCAGATCGATCACATGGTAATTTTTTCGGTATTCTTCCTCAATACTTTTAACTTTACTGCACAATATTCCCCATTCACCTTCTCCCATGATATTTACCTTTTCGTTCACTAGTCCAGTCATAAAACAATAGATATAAATCGCCCAGTGCCCAGGTTCAAGGCCAGCGTTCTTTATATATATATATATATAGTTACATAGTTTGTATTAACATTCATAGTTATATAAAATTATCCTTCTTTTTAAAGATCATGTAGCAAGTTTATACCTGCCACAATAGCTCACCATGCTACGAGTTGACTGGCAGATTATGCCGACAGGCATTAAGT